TTTTCAGACGGGCAGTTTATGTGACAAGATAAAGTTTACTGTATCAGACGCTGGCAGTTTATGTGAACAGATAAAGTTTACTGTATCAGACGGGCAGTCTATGTGACAGATAAAGTTTACTGTACCAGGCGGGCAGTCTTTGTGACAGATAAAGTTTACTGTGCCAGGCGGGCAGTCTTTGTGACAGATAAAGTTTACTGTATCAGACGGGCAGTCTATTGTGACAGATAACGTTTACTGTATCAGACGGGCAGTCTATGTGACAGATAAAGTTTACTGTAATCAGACGGGCAGTCTATGTGACAGATAAAGTTTACTTATCAGACGGGCAGCTTATGTGACAGATAAAGCTTACTGTATCAGACGGGCAGTCTATGTGACAATTAAAGTTTACTGTATCAGACGGGCAGTTTATGTGACAGATAAAGTTTACTGTATCAGACGGGCAGTTTGTATCAGACGGGCAGTCTATGTGACAGATAAAGTTTACTGTATCAGACGGGCAGTTTATGTGACAGATAAAGTTTACTGTATCAGACGGGCAGTCTTTGTGACAGATAAAGTTTACTGTATCAGACGGGCAGTCTATGTGACAGATAACGTTTACTGTATCAGACGGGCAGTCTATGTGACAGATAAAGTTTACTGTATCAGACGGGCAGTCTATATGTGACAGATAAAGTTTACTTATCAGACGGGCAGTTTATGTGACAGATAAAGCTTTACTGTATCAGACGGGCAGTCTATGTGACAATTAAAGTTTACTGTATCAGACGGGCAGTTTATGTGACAGATAAAGTTTACTGTATCAGACGGGCAGTTTGTATCAGACGGGCAGTCTATGTGACAGATAAAGTTTACTGTATCAGACGGGCAGTTTATGTGACAGATAAAGTTTACTGTATCAGGCTGGCAGTTTAATTGACAGATAAAGTTTTACTGTATCAGACGGGCAGTCTATGTGACAGATAAAGTTTACTGTACCAGGCGGGCAGTCTTTTGTGACAGATAAAGTTTACTGTGCCAGGCGGGCAGTCTTTGTGACAGATAAAGTTTACTGTAATCAGACGGGCAGTCTATGTGACAGATAACGTTTACTGTATCAGACGGGCAGTCTATGTGACAGATAAAGTTTACTGTATCAGACGGGCAGTCTATGTGACAAGATAAAGTTTTACTTATCAGACGGGCAGCTTATGTGACAGATAAAGCTTACTGTATCAGACGGGCAGTCTATGTGACAATTAAAGTTTACTGTATCAGACGGGGCAGTTTATGTGACAGATAAAGTTTACTGTATCAGACGGGCAGTTTGTATCAGACGGGCAGTCTATGTGACAGATAAAGTTTACTGTATCAGACGGGCAGTTTATGTGACAGATAAAGTTTACTGTATCAGACGGGCAGTCTTTGTGACAGATAAAGTTTACTGTATCAGACGGGCAGTCTATGTGACAGATAAAGCTTACTGTATCAGACGGGCAGTCTATGTGACAGATAAAGTTTACTGTATCCGGCGGGCAGTCTATATGACAGATAAAGCTTACTGTATCAGGCGGGCAGTCTATGTGACAGATAAAGTTTACTGTATCAGGCGGGCAGTCTATGTGACAGATAAAGCTTACTGTATCAGACGGGCAGTCTATGTGACAGATAAAGTTTACTGTATCAGGCGGGCAGTCTATGTGACAGATAAGTTTACTGTATCAGGCGGGCAGTTTATGTGACAGATAAGTTTACTGTATCAGGCGGGCAGTTTATGTGACAGATAAGTTTACTGTATCAGGCGGGCAGTTTATGTGACAGATAAAGTTTACTGTATCAGGCGGGCAGTCTATGTGACAGATAAAGTTTACTGTATCAGACGGGCAGTCTATGTGACAGATAAAGTTTACTGTATCAGGCGGGCAGTTTATGTGACAGATAAAGTTTACTATATCAGACGGGCAGTCTATGTGACAGATAAAGTTTACTGTATCAGGCGGGCAGTCTATGTGACAGATAAAGTTTACTGTATCAGGCGGGCAGTTTATGTGACAGATAAAGTTTACTGTATCAGGCGGGCAGTCTATGTGACATATAAAGTTTACTGTATCAGACGGGCAGTCTATGTGACAGATAAAGTTTACTGTATCAGGCGGGCAGTCTATGTGACAGATAAAGTTTACTGTATCAGACGGGCAGTCTATGTGACAGATAAAGTTTACTGTATCAGGCGGGCAGTCTATGTGACAGATAAAGTTTACTGTATCAGACGGGCAGTCTATGTGACAGATAAAGTTTACTGTATCAGACGGACAGTTCATGTATTAGATTAAGCTTACTTTATGTATCAGAAGGGCAGTTTTTATGACATTATTAATTTATAAAATAATATGTTTTAATCTTCTTTATATTGGTTGGTTGTTTCATTTATATATGAAAAATAATGCTGCAAAATAACAATTTTTCTGCAAAAGTATGTGTAAGGCCATGCTTTAATATGGAAGAAAACTCGAGTTTGGGTTAAAACTCTAATAGTTTTCATGACTTTCTGTTAATATATATTGGTAAATCTGCAAGAAAAGAATGAATATAATAACGAACTCAATATTTTAGTTTATATTGTTATTTTCCAATGTTTACAGTAAAATATGAATACTACCATTACAACAAAAATAAAAGAAAGTCGCAGTGAGGAAGTATGAAAGTATACCTGAAAATAACAAAAAACTGTTAAAGGGACTCCTCTGAGGTTTTTGACATGAGGGACCGAAAATATTTTTTTCAATGTTTTTGTATAACTAGATTAATGTCTTGACCAATAAGTCATGTACGAAATGTCAGATCATTCGCTCACTCCGTTTCCCAGAAATAAACAATTTTATTGTGCAAATTGGCCCCCAAAAATGTAACACGTTGCAAAACTTTTCACTCAAATCGGCCAAACTTTGCATTAAATCGAGTGTCTATTTGATACCGTGTATATTTAGATATCATCTTTTGCTTGGTTTAAAATTTAAGTGGACCAGTTGAATTAAGAAAGAATTTCGAAATTTATTATTTTAGGCTATTGTACCTCGGTGGGGTTCCTTTAATTAAGAAAACAATTTTTCAAAATATAAATGAAAGGAATGTAAAAATAGACTCAACTTTGATATGAGCAAAAAAATGAAAATACAAGTATTTTATATTAATATCAATACAAATAAAAAAAACCCTTCTACGTTTATTGATATAATTAAGTAATCATTAAGTTTAGCTTTATACTTGCTCTTCATGCTAAAACTTCCCACATTCCCGCACTATTGATTTATTTTAGTAGATTTCTGAATAACCTTGATGGATAATGACAAACTCGATTTTTTGAAACGCGGGAAACTTATACAGTCGACTCCGCTTATAATGAACTTAATGGGACATTTAAATATCTTTCGTTATATCCGGAGTTCGCTAAAAGCGATGTAGCAATGACATGCTTGCTATCGCAACTACTCGGCCCTTTCCGTCAGTCTTCGGGTAAGGACCTCGAACACAATAGTATGAATACACAGAACGGATGCGGCATGCGGTATTTCGGTCTAACCTACGCTAAGAAACTAAGCATGTAAACAAATAGTAATTTAATGCTGGAAGTTGTTGACAAGTTTATTTCAATTTGTTGTAAAAGTCCACCTAAAATAAGCAAACAATACATTATTTCTATATTTATTATTATGGTTGTAAAAACCGAAAGTACAAAAAACCAACCAGTTGATATTTAGTCGGATTTGTTTAAAATTGTACATCAGTGGGCATTTTTAAATTACAAATTGTTGTCAGACATATTTTCAGTCCAAAGTGTACCGAAACAGACTTAACTTTTCTTTTGGATGTCAAATTTATACATTAGTTTTACATTATCGTTTGAAACCACGTGGTAGAACTACTTTCAATCCGAATTGTTTTCGAGGTTAATATAGATAATAGCCAAGGCAGTTCCGAATGGACATGCTTGCGGCCAATTCGCCGTACAACCCCGGTGTAATCGGTAGTTTACGGCAAAGGTAATTTTATGCGGGTCATTTTATTGAACAATATATTATGTACATGTATTTAGTCATGTAGGACTTGTCTATAATGTGTTTACCATTTGTGTTTGTTATTTTTTGGTTAATATTCATTCGTTATAAGTGGAGTCGACTGTATTTGCCAGAAACTATTTTTCTATTTTATGTTTTCAGCATTTACGAGCAATTTCAAAATAATTAATACAGTTATAAGATTGATTTTGCAATGATAAGATATTTCAAAATCCTGAGGCAAGACACGCCTAGGGAATGTGTACTTCGTTAACACACCTATGGAATGTGTACTTCTTTAACACACCTATGGAATGTGTACTTCTTAAACAGCGGTTCCTGCAGCGTTGCTTGCCTTACAATACCAGCGACCAGTGTGATCGACAGGGACGTACTTATTTACAAACAGTGTCGACTGATAAGTCTCGTACAGGGCTTGGACATCGTGCGGTAGACCATGGTTGTTATTCTAAAAACATAAATGTTTTAAATTAATTGATTATTATTATACTTTTCACATTTTGTAAGTGCAGTTGCCTGTATCAATGATAAAATGATAAAATAAACACAACAGTTCTATAAGTAATACGTGAGGTGTATCTTGTAGCTAGCTATGATTAACTGTTACGTGAGGCGTGTGTATCTTGTAGCTAGTTATAATTAACTAGCACGTGAGGTGTATGTATCTTGTAGCTAGTTATAATTAACTAGCACGTGAGGTATATGTGTCTTGTAGCTAGCTATAATTAACTAGCACGTGAGATGTATGTATCTTGTAGCTAGCTATAACATGTATAATTAACTGTTACGTGAGGTGTATATGTCTTGTAGCTAGCTATGTTAAACTAGCACGTGAGATGTTTGTAACTTGTAGCTAGCTATAATTAACTAGCATGTAAGATGTATGTATCTTGTTGCTATAGCTATAGCTAATCAGAACGTGAGGTATATGTGTCATTTAGCTAGCTATAATTAAAAAGCACGTGCGGCGTATGTATTTTCTAGCTAGCTATAATAAGTATGCACGTTAGGCGTGTGTATCTTGTAGCTAGCTATAATAGTAAACTAGCAGGTGAGGTGTATGTATATTGTAGATAGTTATAATTAACTATCACGTGAGGTGTATGTGTCTCGTAGCTAGCTATGTTAAACTAGCACGTGAGATGTTTGTAACTTGTAGCTAGCTATAATTAACTAGCATGTAAGGTGTATGTATCTTGTAGCTATAGCTGTAGCTAATCAGTACGTGAGGTATATGTGTCATTTAGCTAGCTATAATTAAAAAGCACGTGTGGCGTATTTATCTTCTAGCTAACTATAATAAGCATGCACGTTAGGTGTATGTATCTTGTAGCTAGCTATAATTCATGAGCACGTGGGGTGTATGTATCTTGTAGCTATAATTAACTAGTACGTGAGGTGTATGTATCTTGTAGCTATTATTATGATTTTCTAGTATGTTAGGTATAATATATCTTGTAGTTAAAGCTATAATTACGTAGCATGTGAGATGTATGTAAAATAATAAGCAAAGAAGAATATGAAATAAATACTGTGGCGTTTCAAGATGACCATAAATAATAAAGAAGGAAAAAGCATTTTTAGAGGCAGGTAACTCAAACAGTGGGATGATTTTGTACATATATTTTTTAATCATAATTCTCTTTAAAGCTGCATGCCTCCAGATGAGTAAAAATATTTCATTAAAATCGAACTTGATGTCACAGGGTGAGAAAAATGTGCAGCCTGACCGGGACTCGAACCCGAGACCTTCGGAATACCGTTCCGCGGCTCTACCGACTGAGCTATCCGGCCGCTTACACATCTTCTCCCCTAAATAGTGAACAGTTCTGAACCGTGACATACTCCCCTGCTATATTGAAATTCGTCCTCGAATTTCACAGAGTTACAGAGCAATGTAAATTAAACTCTGAGCTATATCAGTCACGGCCCACGTTGGGCGCCAAATGTCACAGGGTGAGAAAAATGTGCAGCCTGACCGGGACTCGAACCCGGGACCCTCGGAATACCGTTCCGCGGCTCTACCGACTGAGCTATCCGGCCGCTTACACATCTTCTCCCCTAAATAGTGAACAGTTCTGAACCGTGACATACTTCACCACAATATTGAAATTCGTCCTCGAATTTCACAGAGTTACAGAGCAATGCTAATTGAACTCTGAGCTATAAGCAGTCACGATTCCCCGTTGGGCGCCAAATGTCACAGGGTGAGAAAAATGTGCAGCCTGACCGGGACTCGAACCCGAGACCTTCGGAATACCGTTCCGCGGCTCTACCGACTGAGCTATCCGGCCGCTTACACATCTTCTCCCCTAAATAGTGAACAGTTCTGAACCGTGACAAACTTGAGAAATATGTTCTAAGATTTTAGGGTAAGTAAAATGATTCAAGATCCAACAATAGTTTACATGTTACATGCGATTAATGACTGATTTTTCAGTATTTACAACTATATTTCTACTGCGTTACTAACGCAGTGAGGGCTATTTATGCATATTCTGACCACTTTTTAGTAATTTACGCGGGTTGTAAGTGACATTGATGATGTGTAACTTGCTTTCTTTTGGTTAATTCACAATATTAAACATTCTAATACATTTTCAATTTTTTCATGAAAATTACCATAAATCTGGAGGCGTGCTGCTTTAACCAAAAGCTAAAATTATGTTTACTAATTTAAATGTTCTTTCTTTGCCTAGTATGTTAGACATGTAGAAACTTTCTAATTGAACTATCTTTGAGATGGCTACCTAACAAATATATCATGATTTGACCTATATTTAAAAAAGAGACCTACTAATTATTCAAATGTTTATATATTTATTTTTTTTATTTATATACAATATGTGCTTTTCTTTAGCTGCAGCAGAATCTGTAGCAAATAGAACTACATTCTGTTAAATAATATTTTCCGTAAGAAACAACAAAACAAAATGCACGTGAAAAATTATGTTAAACCAGCAACATCAAAATTTAAACAAAACTTTTGAAATGATTCAATATTTTACATGAAGTTTCATTCAAGCGCAAACATCTTAAGCTTAAAGATAGCATACACGCATGGTCTGATAGTCCTTCCGACAAATACACACTAGCGATAGTTACACTGAAATTATGTAAAATCAGAAATTTTCGCTGATGTGTTAAATTTTGCTAATTTCGAGAACTGAAGATTTTTTTACACTATGGCAGGCTTCGGACAAAAACTATTGTTTTAGCTGAAGGCGATGCAGTGCACATCTCCAGTTACGGTTATAGATGTTGTCTATTCGACTAATGTGACCATTGTTAGTGTCCGAAATCATACAGAATAATACAGAATCATACAAATCATACAAATCATACAGAATAATACAGAATCATACAACTTAAACTTATGTAAAAATTAAAACCGGAATGGAAATGTTGATTCTTCTCAAAACAATCTGACTTTAAAGCAAAGCAAAAATAATGGCTGACATATCAGGCTCATATATTGAGTAATCTTGAAAAGAGAAAGCAAAATTCGACTAAGCATGACCTATCATGTAATTCTCTGTTTATTAAATCTAAAACGGGCATGTTTATTTCACTTTAATATTGGTTCCTATAAAAATAAATCTGACTCCATAGCAAAGCAACAAAATAATAGCTGAGGAAACATATCAATCTCATATAGAGTACATGTATCAAAAAGAGAAAGCAAAAATTGACTAAGCATGACCTCCTCATGTAATTCTCTGATGATATAAGCTGAAATGGAAATGTTGATTTTGCTAAAATTAAGCCTCTCAAAAAATTGACTTTATAGCAAAGCAAAACATTAATGTCTGAGGAAACGCATCAAGCTAGATCTAATACAGAATTGAAAGAGATAAAGCAAATATTGTTTAAGCATGAGTCATCATGTCACATTACCCATCATGTCACATGACCCACCATGTCACATGACCCATCATGTCACAAGACCTATCATGTCAAATGACCTTTCATGTCACAAGACCTATCATGTCAAATGACCTTTCATGTCACATCACTCATCATGTCACATGACCAATCATGTCACATGATCCATCGTGTCACATGACCCATCATATCACATGACCCATCTATCACACTCTGTTAAAGTGTATATACAACAGTTAAAGCTGGCTTAATCCTAGGCTTACCTGATGTACATGTGACGTCTGTAATTGAGAAGTTGCTTTTTTATAAATTTTCAAGTATACCATTTATCTTTGTACAGAAAAGCTCTAGAAATAAGTTATATTTAAAACAAGTGCTTAAATGTTCTATAACTTGCAATTACGGATAATTTCTACGCGGAAAGCGCTGTCTGTAAAATTGTATGACTTGTATAAGTTAAATTGAAATCACATTAAAAACAATAATAAATAATTTATAATTATGGCTAAGCCAAACAAGTTTGAGAAAATTCCATAGTAAGCAGGACGCAGCCATTTTGAAAATCTTGGACTGGTTCTATATATTTGAGCTATATTTAGATTACATGACGCTTTTGAAAAACCATTTATCAAAAGCGTCTACACAATTCAGACTGTTGCTAGAAGACGCCACAAGTCTTCTAATCTAAGTTACACTTCCGGTAGAAGTATGATGTAGAAAATCATTAAAGAAATGTTACTTATATAATCATTGAAAAGAACTAACGAAGTAACGATGATAAACATAAAAATAATTTTATATACCATTAGCCATTCTGATATTCCATCATGTTCACTGCGGTATACCGTACCCCGGATATTGCTCGATATTATGAGGACTTTCATCCCATTTCGCGACTTTGAACGAGGAAAGAAGGTATGTTTAGTGACGATATTTAGTCATTTTGAATTGGTTTGATATAAATTTTGTAGAAAAACAAATACTTCGATAATTTCTCTAGTTACTGAAACCCCAAAAATGTTGAGAAATAGCTTTGAAATGTAATTAGGAGATACAATTCGTCTCTTTGCTCACGTGATAAATGAGCTCGGATCAGTCAAATTTGATGTTTTTGTGCATATACTTCCTTAAAAGAAAAACTTGAATCGAGTGAAATGTGATAATGATGATAATGTTTATGTTGTAAATGTTCAATCAACAATAGAACCTCAGATAACAGTGCATTTTGAGAATAAATACACATGTCAGTGTACCTAGTATTGCTTTGGAGTTGCCCGCCGGTGTCACGAGTATTGCTTTTTAGTGTAACGAGTATTGCTTATCAATAAAGAGTAAATGCAAGTAGTAAACACAAAGTGTTTACCACATTTAATTTTAAATATTTCTTACTGTGTATACTTATTTACACTATATGTGCAGAATATGCAGAATTCGGAGGTACTTTACTGGAAACATCTGCGAATAATCCAGATTTTCATTCCTGCTCGTGAAAAATCTCAGTTTTCTGTGTTTAAAATGTTTTCGTTGCTATCGAAGGATCAACCTTTCCAGAATTTGTTAATAATTATTGCATATCTTACTTTAATTAGTAAAAAAATGCATCCAAAGTGCATTAATACTGCCTCAAGAACGGTATTGAGCAAGTGTGCCAATATCTAATATCAACCGACTTCCTTCTATGCCAAAATCCATATAAAGGTAATTTTCGGGCATTTTGCACCTGCACTCTAGCAACGGCAGACCGTCTGCACGTGAAATTTTGTTACGCCTTAAACCCCAGTCACACTAGAGCTTACGATTACTTGCGACCACCGGCGACTTGTAAAACTGACGATCATCAGCGATTGTCTGCGACCAAAACCATTTATGCACAGATAAATTTACGTTTGCGAGTATCGTAAGACAAGTCATCATTGACAATCGTACGACAGGTCATAAGTAAACGTACGATGGTCTCAAGATTGCCTGGGATTACTTACGACTACCCGTGTCATAACATGCGATCACCTACAACTTGTCGTACGACCATCACACGATTACTAAAGACTACTTAGGATTATCAGTGACTAGAGGCAATTTGTAAAGACTGTCGTAAGATTGTCGCACTTCGAACGACCATCGTGCGACAGTCTTAAAAGACCTTATAAGATCACTAGCGACCTGTTTGATCGCAAGGAGGTTTTTGTGCAAGCTCAAAAACCTCTTTACGACTGAAATTGGTCGTGGGACCTAAATAAGATAACCTGCGACTGCCAAAGATCACCGATGACCGTCGTAAGACGTTTTAAAGATTGTCCGCAACCAGAGGTCACTGGTGATCGTGAACTGGTCTTCACTGGTCGTAAGCTCTAGTGTGACTGGGGCTTTAGCAATGAGTTACCGCATGACTGACGAGCGGGTACAGCTCAAAAAACCGAATAATGTATTTTGATAAGATTATGATAAAGGGCAGCAGATGCAATTATAAGGTTATGTTCCTTATAACCTTTTACCTCATAAAGGCGTGTTTTTAAAGACTTTACACCACGCCCCTTTTGAGGCCTCAAATAGTGTAAAACATGCGCTATTTAGGCCCCAAATACTGTTTTTTCGTTGAGAAATGTTGTTCAAAAAGAGTGATCACTTTTTCGGCGCCACCTCCATTAAAAAAGGTACAAGGGGTTACACAGGGGGATGTGCCCCCTTCTGTTTGGGGGTTTGAAGTGGGGCGAAGCCCCTCTAATCGTCGAGAAGACTTGGGACTTGTGGGGGGGGGCTAAATGGCCTCAGGTCGATTTAAAGGTAACCGTGTAATCAACGCCGAAAACCTTAGACTTTATCTCAATCAATTGAGAAGTTGGTGCACCTTGAAATCAGTTTTGATGGGGAAAAAACAACGTAGATAGAGATTTTTGGCAATTTTGAGATGCCCCCCCCCCGTTGCCATGGTAACTGGAAATTTAAAATTGAGGCATGCTATTCCACAGGCTATGGTCCAGCTAACATTTTGTGCCCAGTTTGATCAGTATTGAAGCATTTTTTATAGTTTCATAGCAGTTGTAACAATAATTCAATGAAAACAGCCATTTTTTCGCATTATGCTCATGCAGTAAAAGGTTAAGACGATACCGGCATGCTTGGACGCATAAGCCCTTGGGCCAGTATTTTATGAAGTGCGTCGATATGTTTCTTAAGGCAAACTTGCCCTGTAAAAACCTTTTATTAATGTCATCTAAAATATGTCTTTTTTATTCTTGTCCTTTTCAGAGATGGGTCTCCTTGATCAAAGTTTCTTGAGACATGTATTTAAAGTTTTTTTATCGTCCAATTTTGATGGTTCTACCCTGCTTCCGACCCTGCACATACTTTATTTCATCCATAGAGTGATTTTCAATCAAATGGGAAATTAAATCTCTGTATTTGCCCGTAGGAAAAAAGAACAGTATAACACTGAAAATGCATTGTTGAATCTGAAATATTTGAATAAATATCATATAAACAGTACATTATCAGAAAAATGAAATTGAATCGATAAACAGACGTGAAAATTAGACAAAAATATCGATTTTCCATACTAATGTGCTCATTCTGTTTTGCAATACTCTGTACACTAAAGTTGGGCTATTTTGCAATACTCTGTACACTTAAAATCAATACTCGGTACACTTTCTTGTATCTTTTTTGGCCTGTATCTTTTGTACTTTCACACTTTTTGCCTGAAATTTTGGACAAGGCATACTTGGATGTGAATAAAAAATTGCTCAATTCAATTTTTTTTATATTGTTAATATAATAATTTCTAACGATTCTACAGTATCGCGGTCAGTATTTTCTAGTGAGCAGCGGATCGTTTAGGGGTAGTTTAATCAATTTTACAAATACCTGTAATACTTTTACGTCTTTTAGAGCTACAAAAATACCTCTAGATATATAAAACCCGTTGAGATAAATGAAATAGCCATAAGTTTGGAAAATATCGTCGCTGAACTTACCTTTGTTCCCCGTTCAAAGTCGCGAAATGGGATGAAAGTCCTCATAATATCGAGCAATATCCGGGGTACGGTATACCGCAGTGATGTTTAAATAACATGACAGCAACAACTCTTGTTTAGAGAGTAACAAAAATGGCGGGAAAAATATAAGCATACTATAATACTAACCGCTTTCGGAATAAAGTCCCATTGTATGTTTGGAGCAGGATATCCAGTTACTTGACATTGTATAGCAAAACTTGAAGATACCGGTGGTTTAATTATGTTGACAACGGGCTTCTCTACGAGGAAAATCAGAAAAGAAATATCCAGAATAGAATTAGTTCAATCTTTTATGTTAATCTGGTAACATTAAAGGGACTCCATTGAGGTTTTTTGTCATGATGGGATTGAAATTATTTTTTCAGATAAATGTACCATTTGATGTAGGGTTAGACCACTAATCTTTGTGCAAAATGTCAGCTCATTCGCGCACTCGGGCAAAGAAAAGCATAAAAATACGCTTTTCAATTTCTTTCGAAGTATATTTCTTAACTATTTTTGCATATTTTTCTGTTTAAAGTGTCCCAGCTCATTTATGTAAGGAATTCAAATGTTATGTTTTTAGGCTTTTAAACCTCAGTGGAGTCCCTTTAATACAGCTATGTTTACGAAACAGTCATGTATAACTTAAAGGAGAAAAAGACTATAGAGGAGTGTGTGTAAAAAAATGAAAAATGAAAAACAAGATAAAAAAGTATGTCTTACAAACAGATAGTAAGTGTAACAAATAACTATAAAATTAGGTCTCATAAAAAAAGAACAAGCTATATAAAGTGTGTCTCACAAAGAGGACAAAGTTCCAGTGTATTTTACAAATAGAAGAACATCTCATAAAAAGAAGAACGATCTATGTAGAAAGTGTATTTAACCCAAAGTGAATAATAGATGATAAAGACTCGCAAAAAGAAAACATGACGGTTACTTTAAAGCTGCATGCCTCCAGATGAGCCAAAATATTTCAAAAAATTAAACTTGGGAAAAATGTACTAAGAGTTTTTAAGAAAATTAGAAATATTAGTTCAAGTGATAATTTATATATTGTATGCAATTTAGGACTGATTTTTGCAATATTTATAACCATTTTTCTACTGCGTTACTAACGCAGTTGGGGCTATTTTCGCATTTTTGATCTCCTTTTTGGTAATTTGCGTGGATTATAAGAGTCGATTTTTGTTCATTTTAAAATATTTTACTTTTAAATAAATTTTCAAAATTTCCATGAAAATTAGGATTAATCTGGAGACGTGTTGCTTTAAAGTTGAACTATAGATGGATCTTTGAAGTTATATTTAACAGTATGTATATCATTTTTGTTTTAAGTTGTATAGTACCGGCAAGTATTCCAATAAAATGAGATTGTTCTGTTGTATATCCGTTGACTGTCGCCGCACACGTGTACGTTCCGAATGTTGACTCTGTCAAGTTTTTAATATGTAGAATATCTATACCTGACCCACCTCCCGTTTGTCCAGATATAAGCTGCTCGGTTACACCGGCCGGTAGGGACGATGTCTGTAATATTCAAAGTATATTGACTTAATTTCAACTGTATTTCTCGAGCATATACAGGTATCGTTATATTTTAAGCTCTCGACCCGTGATAGTGAAAGTTAAATATAATATACTTATAAAAGAAATATTGAGAAATATTGGTTCATTAAATGAAATAAAATGCATATTTTCGAATTCATCGTATTTTTACTGTAAAAAATATTTTTCACTGCAGTGAAACATATTTTCCGTTTTTTTAATGGTGTGTTGCCGGACTACTTTCTTCTAAGTTCAGCCAATACAAAAATTGTAAAGGGATGTATTTTTAATTGTAATGCCAAAAAAAAAGAGAAGCATTTTTTATATACTTATAAATGAAATATTGAGAAATATTAATGAAATGAAATGCGTATTTTCAGTTTTCCCGTAATTTCACATTAAAAAGATATTTTTCACTGCAGTGAAACATATTTTACGTATTTTCACTGGTGTCTTGTCGGACTACTTTCTTCTAAATTCAGCCAATACACTTCTAAATTCAGCCAATACACAAAATGTTAAAACGGGTGGTCTTTCAAATTGTTGTGTCAAAAAGAGAAGTATGTATTTAATCAACAGAAAATTTAAGTTTTTTTCTCTTAAACACAGGACTTTTCTTCATCTTGTGGTATGAAAATTATTATATTTCACTCGTAAGTACCGCCACTCATGAAATATATATTTTCATACCACTCGATGAAAATAAATCCTGTATCAATAGAAAAAAATACCCTCTATTTAAATCAGCCTCAATTTATTTCATTTGTCCACCCCACTATCATTCATTCATTCGTTCGTTCGTTCGTTCGTTCGTACGTACGTACGTACGTACGTACGTACGTACGTTCGTTCGTTCGTACGTACGTACGTACATACATACATACGTACATACATACCATACCATACATACCATACATACCATACATACATACATACATACATACATACATACATACATACATTCATTCATTCATTCATTCAATCAATTAACCATTCATTGCAATTTAGGATTTACTTATAAAGGCTGATGACGGAATTATCTGTAATTGTGTTCTAGAGAATTCAGATATATAAATTATATACTAGTACATAAATATATGATATATAATTTCCTAACTAGATGTGCTGTTACTATATTCAACGGCTACAAAACATGTAGACTATTACTAGAATTTTGGATCTTCTTATCTGTGCTAAAATCTAAATACATTTTTCTCAGGTTTGATTTTTTTTGAAATATTTGTTTTGTTCATCTTGAGGTGTGCAGCGTTAACTCATAAAATAACTTACCCCGTTAAATTTCCATGTATACGTGTCAGCAACTGGTGTTTGTTGACGCAGGCGATTTTGTGTTTCTTTCAGGAAGGATCTTTTCCGGTCCATAATTTGCACAGATAGTGGAGGCGCTGTTGTTTGTTTGTTCGTCGTCGTTGTTTCGTTGCTGCAGGCATGTTGTTTGGTTTTGTTGGCGAATGACATGCGTGGGAGAGACTCCGTATAAATAACACGGGCTCAATATGTGAATATCGTAAATATTTGATGTGTTTTCATGGACAAAAGCAAGTGTAACCCGTTTTAATTTAAAATAGGGGTTATGAGAGAACTCATATTTATTTGAATTTAGTTGATGTCTTTATATTCAGTAACATGTTCTATTCACGTATGTTTATTTCTATATTATTATTGTTAGTAGTAATTAAGAAGTAAGTTAGTAAGTAATAGTAAGTAAAGTAAAATTAAAGTAAAGTAAAATAAAGAGAAGTGAAGTGAAGTGAAGTGAAGTGAAGTGAAGTGAAGTGAAGAGAAGTGAAGTGAAGTGAAGTAAAGAGAAGTGAAGTGAAGTAAAGTGAAGTAAAGTGAAGTAAAGAGAAGTGAAGTGAAGTAAAGAGAAGTGAAGTAAAGAAAAGTGAAGTGAAGTGAAGAGAAGTGAAGTGAAGTAAAGAGAAGTGAAGTGAAGTGAAGTGAAGTGAAGAGAAGTGAAGTGAAGTGAAGTAAAGAGAAGTGAAGTAAAGAGAAGTGAAGTGAAGTGAAGTGAAGGAAGTGAAGTAAAGTTGAAGTGAAGTGAAGTAAGAGAAGTTGAAGTGAAGTAAAGGGAAGTGAAGTGAAAAATGAAGAGAAGTGAAGTAAAGAGAAGTTAAGTGAAGTGAAGTGAATAGAAGAGAAATGAAGTAAAAAAAGCAGCAAAGTAAAGTTAAGTAACGTAAAGTGAAGTAAAGTAAACTAACTAAATATTATAAGAGTGAAATTGTGTTATGTGAATAATAACTGTTGATTGAACGGTCATTTTTGAAATAAAAAAAAAAAGAAATCATACAAACCTAAAAAAGCCAAAACTAAAAATGAAAAAAAAAACAACAACTGATACATACGATTCCAATTGTCACAGGCAGCATAATTACAGAGGTCGGTGTGATCGCAGCAAACAACGCACGAAGAATGGAACGCATTTTTCAATGCTTTACATTGCTGAAGATAGGACAAAAAGTTGCATCTTAACCAATGCACCAAAAATCAAAATGAACGCCCGTTGTATAACGGCGAGCTCGAGTAAAGTATACATTAATCTGAGTTAAAGAATACAATAATTTGAGTTAAAGAATACAATAATTTAAGCTAAAGTATACACTAATTTCAGTTAAAGAATACAATAATTTGAGTTAAAGTGTACACTAATTTGAGTTAAAGAATACAATAATTTGATTTAAAGAATACAATAATTTGAGTTAAAGTATACATTAATTTGATTTAAAGAATACAATAATTTGAGTAAAAGTATACATTAATTTGAGTTAAAGTATACAATTTCGCCTAAGATTCTTATTGGGTTAAAGAGACTTGAACTTAACTGTAACTTAATAAAGCGTTCTCATAAGTTAGAAATATAAGTTAGAAGGGCAATTAACATATAACAATCCCCAGTTAATTTTTTAAAAAATTAGGGACAAAAATAATTTCAAAAACCACAAAAAATATAATGTTTTCATTTTTACCTTTCCCCTTTTTAAAAAAATGTTTCTAACTAATGTAAAAAGGCTAAAATTCTTTTATGAATTTAACCACATGGGCACACTATAAACATTAACAACGTAAAAATAAAAAAAATGTTTTCCTGTCTAAAAAACTTTTTTCCCCCCCGAATGATGTAACCATTTACGTCGTTCCCCCTTACATGACTAAATTTAAACCACTTTTCCAGACTTCCCTTGGGCCACGTTCAGACAAATAACAACGTTTCCAGAAAACTTTGCCCGTTCCCAGACTAACTTAACAACTTACCAAGATAAACTAAAGCACGTAACCGGACTAACTTAATCAAGCCACCAGACTAATTCAACCACGTTGACCAGACTAACTTAAACAATTTACCAGTCTAACTTAACCACGGTTTACAGACTTACTTAACCCTATCACCAAATTAAATTCAACCACATTGCCAGACAATTCAACCCACTTACCGACTAACTTAGCCTTTACCAGTTGTAATAAACCACATTACATACTAACTTAACACGTTTACAAGCCTAACAAACCACTTACCGAACATAACCAATTACCTTCTAACTTACCCGCTTATGGACTTATACTTATTTAACCCACGTTACTATTACTTACTTAACCCCGTTCCAGATTAACTTAACCCACTTAAGAAGAAGCGTGTTTGTTAAACCAAATGCCCCCGGCTCCGATTCTTGTCAGTAGCAATATTTCAAAAAATGATTATCCATTACTCAGTTACGGCAAAACATTGCCAAAAAAATTGTAAACACAAAATATAGCTTGACAGAGTCATGGTATTTTTTGTAAAATATATAATTCCAAAGTCATTACTATGACTTGTTGAAGTATAAATATTCAACTTATCAAATATTTTATAAATGTAAGAAATCTATACTTGGGCCCTTTGACCTGGACCCACTGAACCTATAGGAAATCATGCAAGTTATCTTCCTACCTAATATGAAATACCCTGTCAATAAATAAAGGCATTGGCAAAAATGTTAAAAAATCATTTTGACATTGATACCTTGTCAAACTAAACTCCATCCAAAAGAAGAATACCCTGCAAGTTATCTTCCAACCCAAATATGAAATAAATCTGTCAATAAATGTAAAGGCTGTATGGCAAAAGTGAAAAATCTATTTTTAGCACTTTGTGACCTTGACCCAATGACCCTAACTCCTCCCAAAGTAAGAATAACATGCAAGTTATCTTCCTACCAAATATGAAAATATCATCTGTCAATAAATAAAGGCCTGTACGGGCAAAAAGTGTAAAAATCTATTTTATAGCACTAGTGACCTTTGCCCACTGATCCCTAACTCAATCAAAAGGAATTACATGCAGTTATCTTCCTACCAAATATGAAATTATATCTATCAATAAATAAAGGCTGTATGAGCAAAAAGTGTAAAAATCTTTTTTTTAGCACTAGTGACCTTGACCCAACTGACCACTAACTCTATCAAATTTTATGTTCCTATCAATTATAAATGACATCTGTCTATAGAATATGGTTAATACACCTGTTAAAAATGTAAAAATCTATTTTTAACATTAGTGACCTTGACATTGGTGACACTGATCTTGACCCAAATGATCCCTTACTATACCCAAAGAAGGAGGACCTCCCTTGGCATGTTTGTATTAAATATGAAAGACATCAACCAAAAAATAAAGGCTGTATGAGCAAAAATTAGAGGACCATTAAAGGTATATACCTACCAAATATGAAAGATATCATTAAATAAATTAAGCAATTAAGAGAAATTTACGATAAATCCAACTTGCCGGAATAGGGTTTAACAGACAAGGCCTATTTTAAAGTGAAAAAAAGAAATAACTGGGATATGGATGACACATTATATAACCCTTGGCAAATCATGCACTTTGTTTAATAAGTTAGTGTTGAAAATTATGAGCCATTAGTGATAGATAGAACTTTAGATATTTCAACTTGCCGTTTTAGGTTAACCATTATTCATTTTCTAAGTGCTGAAAAGGGCAATAACTTTAAATATGGAAGCCATAGTTATGTAACTTACCAGATCATGTACTTTGTATTGATTAGTAAGTGTGCTAAACTAAGAAGCCATTGGAACAGGTAGAACTTAAGAAAAATCCAACTTGCCGTTCTAGGTTAACCTCGTACGGACAGACGGACGGACGGACAGACGGACGGACGGACGGTTCAATTACTATATGCCCGGGGGCATAAAAAAGCAAAACAAGTTGTGAAACACGTACACAGAAAACGTTATTAACTGAATTATAATTTTACATATTTTAGACTCTGCCAGTTGGTAGGACTCTGGAGTATCAAATCAGTAAGGCATGACAAATAAAGTCCCTAGGATGACCGATAACCAAATTCGGATCATAAATATTTTGACAACTAACAAAAGTGACGTAATCTGATGTAATGTTATAACTATTACATATCACAGCCAACTTCTCACTTCCCCTCGGAGCGTGCACGTCGCTGAGAAGGCACAGGGCATCGGCAGATGATTGAAGGATTGTGTAACGTTTAAGGCGGTAAATTCGCATGTTTTCTTCTACTCGGGGTAACGTTTAAGGCGGCACGACCTAGATAGACTTCATGAAGTTAGCTGCCGGTGTCCTGACTAATGCCGAGGGGAGTGGCCCTACAAAAAAGTCGCTTGGGTCGACGAGGATGGTGTGTTAGGGTGCGTGAGACCCTAGCACGGTTAGACGGCTTGAAAGACAGGCCTATAGCTGGCACAAACAGCCCTTTTCAGGACTAACCACCTTTCCTATTGTCACAGGTTACTGTACATTTAGGTTCTCATTGACCGCCGTACAGTGAGCTACTTTTGGCTCAAAATTCATATCTTTGGCTAATACTCCGTGGAAATTGCATGGAGGTAAATTATCACCACTTTGTGCTTCAAAGTTAACTCTTTAAGGACATGACTGGTGACATGTCCGGGGTCCGTACTTGACAGCGCAAGCTGCATTTTGTGCCCTTACGGGCGGATGGACCCTCATTAAGCATTAACAACATACATATCACAGCCAAGTGCAGCTTGTATATACAGCATATGCACCCGGTTAATTAATATGTTACGGCCCAGTAGCGCTTATATATACACATCTATTTATTTATGAAATAAGTTACTGGGAAAAGGTCTTTATTTTTATAATAATAAGGATTGATTTGTCTGTTGCGAATCTAAAGTTATAAAAATCATTGCCACATGGTTTTAATTCTTTCCGGAATATTTATAAAATTATATCCTTCACTGGTTTTTTGAAAGATTTTTATACGGCATAATGAAAAAGAATCAGTAAGTAATGACAGAATGCATTTTGCTATTCTATTAAAGCTTGAAAATAAATCATTAAAATACATTGGCAATCTTATTTTCATGTTTGTCACAAATACGCCGGAATTTTCTAAATGACATAAAATAACACAGAAAATTAGAAAATGACCATTTAAATTTATAATAGGTAATTTCAGTGTGTATGGGTGTTTATAAAATATTAAATTTTGATTTAGTTACTAGCCTTTTATCCTTATTATTAAAGAAAATCTAGATCTTAATAAATTAAATATATTTACTTTGAAATTTCGCTGTTTCACTCCGTAGCGAGAATTAATCTCAATCTTTGTTTTCGTATTTTTTTGATATTGAATTTATGTATGCATTAGTAAATATTTACATGTTATAATCATAATCGAACGATCAGTATTAATTTTACGCATTGAACTTTTTAATAAGCTAAATGCATGGTATTATCCCCATTTACGTCACATCCGGTAAGGGAAGTATCTCTTCTCTGACTGTTATCGCTTAAATGAAAGGGTCAATATATTGTGCACTGATATGCGTTTTTGTCTTTCATTTAAAAGGCCCATTATGCCTCATAAATGTTTTTTTTATAACTTTCATTTTCCAAAATCTTTTTATTATTTGTGTCCTCTTTTAGTTTCCACACAGTTATTCAGTGGTTAATTACGTGAACCATCTTTTGCTTCTATTCTATGGCAATTAGTAAAAATACATTGATTAAGCATTTTGTAAGGAAGACAAAATACTTCTTTGTTTGCATTTTGCTACTTTAGAACAGACAATTTCACATTCAGCACTACTTTCTTCGGATAATAAGTATCTTAAATCAAGTAGTTGCTATAAAACAGTTTTTTAAACGTTGTATAAACGTAAAGGGGGAAAATATTCATTTCTGTGACTATATGTGTCTTTAACCAAAGTTGTTTCCTGAATATTGTTATAAATTTTATCGATATCAAAAATATTCTTTTGTGCCAAAACCTACAATTACAGTTTGAATAAACCAACTCTGTTATGTCCATTAATTTCAATATGAAATAAGGCAATTTTTGTTATTGAATTTAATTTCGTATTTAATACTTACCAAGGTCCCCATACATCCAAAGTCATACAGAATGTTGTAAGTGATACTGTGTGAGCTTATTCCCTTGTGTACATAACAAAACTGAAAAAAAAAATGAAATGAAAAATACCTGATCAATTCAGATTTCAGTCTTAATCATAAGTATTAAAATGATGTTAAAAAAATCATTTGTCACCTAAGTAAAGTAATCGTTTGAAAAAAGTAAAATTGTGTAAAGAGAAAATTAAAATAAAATAATTTGAGTAAAATACGCATGCGTCAAAATAACAAAATCTTATGTAAGTTAAAACAATGTGTCTTAAAGCAGCACGCCTCCAGATTCATGTTAATTTTAATGAAAATTTTAGAAATATATTTGAATGTAACATATTGTGAGGTGAACAAAAATAGCAATTGTCATTGTGCAAATCGGCGCTTACAAACCAAGAAAATTACCAAAAAGTCGTCAACATATGCAAAAACTGCCCTTACTTCGTTAATAAAGCTTCAGTCACACTACACCGCATAGCGTTAACGGACGCCAAACGCAAAGAAAAATGTGGCTGAAAGTTATCCGGTGATGAAAAGCATTTCCCGCTGCTGCTCGGTGCTTTCATGATCGCTGTACGGGGCGCATAGAACGTACAAAACGCACAATGACCGAACGATCAACGCACATATACCGGATGAACGACGTTACAAGGTAAACGGACTTCACCGTACTAGTAACGGATTTGTACCGCACAAAACGTACACGCAGCCATGAAGAACTGACAAAACGTTCTTTTGAACCGTCGACGAGCGTATTTTTCTACCGGTCACGTGACTGACAAAACTGGTATACGATATTTTTTTGTATAAACCAAACAGGTGGTGCCAATGAGGCGAACGGTCGATGGGTATGCTGCATGGGTACTCATCAGGACTTGGAAACCGTTAGCGAGGATGCCGAAAGCATTTTCAACCACTCTTCGAGCCCTTGACAGCCTGTAGTTAAAAATCCTTTCATCGTGGACAAGGCTCTTGCCCGGTATTCTTCTGCATATAGGTCTTCCAGGCCAAAGGCACGTCGTCCCTGAAAATAGACAATTAATATATTACATGCATTTACGATTACAATACACAATTTAAAGAAATCAGGTCTATTATAGTATGTTCATTTATTTTATTTCCTCGAATTTTTTTCCTTACAAATATAGAAAAATGCACATCCTGCAAAAAAATGTCGTGTGGCAGGGTTCGGGTCCGCAGGTCAATTCCCTGTCCTCACTTGCAGCTTTAAGTCGGACTCGTTCCACAATGAGCCTCAGATGCAGAGCATCGTGCTGTCGGCCCAATGAACTTGTAGTCGTAGTCAACGAGGCCAGCAGGACAATGGAGTAGTACTTCTTACAGTGAAATATGTAGACCCGGAACTAGCGTGGACACTAACAGCAATATGCTTGCCATCCAACGCACCCAAAGTGTGAGGAAAGTTCCATTTTTCCAAAAGAACCATCTGAAAATGCGTTTTCAGTCAGCACTGTTGTTGGGCAAAGGCATGACCTCGGCCACATACTCGTCCTTAAATTGCTCTGCACACCTTGAAAATGTAAATAAAAATGCGATTTAAAAGTAGAAATAATCATGTAAGCAACTTATTGATATTTTAAAAAGACCAGAAATTATATACATGTAATTGTTCGAGTTATCATTAAGAATCATGGGAAAATAAAAATATTTACTTCTCGCACGATGACAGAGATGGTGTTGTGAGGTATCCTCCAGGCAAACCGCATGTTGGAATACTTTGACCCTGACGCAAGATGTGAAACGGCTAACTTCATTCCAGCATAAAGAGGGGTTCTGTATGTGGTATATTGTTTTGTTATTCTGGGACCCACTCCGGAATCTCATCAAACATCTCAGGAGGCATCCTCATGAAGTTCGTATATGACCGCTGGTCTTCTCTCCGCAGCTCCATCATGAGTTGATCGTAGAGACCAAACATTCGACGTTTCTCAGGACCCAGCCAAGCCTTTGACCATCACCTCCGCAGTCGCCTCCTTCTGCTTCTATTTTCATAAGCGACAATATATACATTTGCATCCAACAGGTCAATACGTGCCTGGATCACGGTCGCTTGATACTGCAGGCGGGCTCTAACGCGACACTCCATGATATGTGGATCATTAACCCAAACTATCAAAGTTTCAGAAGGTCCTTACACTTGAAATGCAGGAAAATATATATCGACAGTTATAACAAGGGGAAACCTCGTTTATTCATCATCAGTTTTGTGCGGTGGACATCGATTCATGTCTGTTATTTATCAGTTCTTATACGTCCCCTTGTTCGTTATCGTCCGTTTAACATACGTTACATCCGCTGCATGCCCGTTAGTAGTCCGGCCGTGAATCAGGTCCACCGGACAAGAACGGACTTCGAACCGGACAAGTACAGAATAAGGAACGTAACGAGTAACGAACAAAACGCATATCAGCGCATGGTTACCGTACATCTGACGGACAACTTTATCCGGATGTGTACGTTCCAAATTTTGAACATGTTCAGAACTTTCCATCGAATGGAACGAACACCGCCGGACACCGCCGGACAAGAAGCGCAAACGCCACATGATAAACGGAAAAGAAACGCATGCGAACGGACATGGACGTATTGAAAATTTTGTTATACGTTGGACGTCCGTTAACGCTATACGGTGTAGTGTGACCGGAGCATAACGCAGTGAAAATATGGTGATAAAATACTGCAAAATCAGTCTTAAACCACACATAACATGTAAAATATTAAGTGGATCTTGAATGTTTTCCAGGGAGGGCCGACCGCTAATGTTGTAAGAACTTGGGTCCAACCCGTTTGCTTTTGCTGTTTAGAATACATATGAAATTTGTATCTGTATTGTATATACATGTATATAGCAATAAAATATTATTAAACTATAGAATGTTTTTACCTTTCTTTTAACTGCAGTACATTTTTCTCAATATTGATTTTCTTGAAATATTTTTGCTTATCTGGAGGTGTGCAGCTTTAATAGTAATATAACTAAATTTTAATGATTGTTGATTATATTGTTAAATAATTTTGTGTTATAATTTCAAAATATTTCTGATAGTTTGTCATGATAACAAAATATTTTGACAGTTAAACGTGTCATGATAACAAAATATTTTTTGACAGTTAAACGTGCCATGATAACAACATATTTTTGATAGTTAAGCATGTCATGATAACAAAATATTTTTGATACTTAAACGTGTCATAATAGCAAAATGTAGGTGATAGTTAAATAAATTACATAACACGATTTCAAATATCAACATTGTATTGTAAATAATGTATGTTTTGTAATCTGTGTCTATGAAATAAAAGAAATGTTCTGTTCTGTTCTGTTCTGTAATAATAAGGATGACTGTCAAACAAAAGACAAACTACAAAGATATAACATTATCATGCGTTTGTAGAAGTACCAGGAATAGTGTAGTGTGAGACATATGATCACAAATGTCACGTGACCTTGATGTCAATTTTCAGTCGCATTTATCACACGTGTGACAATCGTGATCCGTGCCAAATGTACTCCTTCAAAGCTATCAACCTCCTACGCAGTGATCTCCCCTTAAAGGATTAGATCCATCACAACATTTCGTCAAGATTATTGACGATATGAATTTTTTCAATTTTTATATTTATTTTAAAAAGTAGACACGGTTTTGCTAATGTTTCAAGACCAATAGGTGTTAGATGTGAACTAAAATAAAAAATAATTTTGGAAACATAAATATTATGAAAAAAAAATTAAAACAATTTAATGCCGCATCGTTTATTTCCAAAACAATGACCCCTCTCGAAAGAGAAATCATTCAAGTAATTATTAATTTCGACTATACGCTTTACAAAAATTATTTTTTTAATAATATCGACATATTTGAGACCAGAGCTCAAGTTTTAATGTCGCTGTTTATTACAGATAAAACAATTTTTTCAACGATTTCATTGGCGTTAACGCCATTTTTACACAATCATGTGATAAGACCATCATCACGTGATTTGTGTGAAGCCGTAGCTTAACCGGTGCGCGGTGTTTGCAAAGCTATAAGGTAAGTAATAGAAAGAGCACCGGAACACGAGGTTATCTGATTTGTACGAGGGGGCGTAGCCCCCCGAGTATTTATCAGATTACCGAGTGTTTTGGTGTTCTTTCTCTTTTGTATCATAGTCAAACATAAAAACACGTTCCCTGTTGTTACAATATGAAACCCCGGCAAAAATGAACCAATGAACGAGCATCTAAATATGACATTTCTGTCGATTTCACTTTCACTGCCGTCACAATATGTAAATCCCAGCAAAAATGAGCCAATCAATGGGCATGCTCTGGAGTGCGGGTAACTAATACCCGCACTCCAGTTAACGCACTGTGCATGTATATGTATACTATTTTACCCTGACACATTTTCAACAGAAAGGTCTCCAAACTATGATACAATGAATCTTATGATTTGACGATACATTTATATTATGGCACGCTATATTTGCTATTGTACAAGAAACGATCCTTATTTTTTTATATACTCGTATTTTGTTTTGTACCCACCTCATCCTTACCACATTCTCTTATTTGTTGACAATCTTTTGGATCGTGCACAGCTGCACAGGACAGACATCTTAGATTTGTTCCTGGATCTAAAAAAAGTACCTATCATTTCTTGTCTATAATTCACTATTTTAATTTTGTGTCTGTCCAATATGTTTTTTCTCTGTGTATCAGCCCAAATAAAAACGTACGGTGCATAATTACTGAAAAATACTCGACATTACTGAGAAATACTCTAATATAGGGTTGGACATTACTTAGAAATACTCGGATATATATGGTTAAATATTATTTAAAAATATCGGATACATGAAACATCATTGAAGAATACTCTGGTATAGGGAAACAAAATAAAATTGACATTATGAGGGATTTCGTGCCTTAACTTAAAACAAAGACAGAGACAATTTTATTGTTTCTAGTAAATTTGATATCAAAGAACCAAATCAATATACTCTAAATATAAACTCTTATTATAAATTCAGCGAGTATTAATTGATAAACATGGTTTAGAATAAAGTAAATTATCTTACGTGAGGTGCAAAGATCTTTGTTACAACCATCCGCTTTATCACAACACTGTGTACATATATGAAAATCACCATTCGATGCACGTGTCATTTTTCCACGTGCCTGTATTTCATTTGATCCAATTAGGGCAGATGAATCATTAAACGTGTTTCTTCTGCCAACAGGAATGACAGAAGTCTGGCTTCCGAGGCAGACCTATAAATGGTTAATATTGAATCACTACTTATTCATTCGCTCATATGGCTCACACTTAAGTGATAAACTTACGACGTAATTTACGAAGTACAACATTATAACGCATCAGTTCTGAGGACCCCGTATAGCATCTTATCTAGTCGACCAGTTAATGATTATCCCAACCGACAAGACTTCGACTATTATTTCCCGTGGCATAAACCTGGCACACATGTCATGGTTCACTGCAGAGCCCCTTGTGGCTGAGGGATTGACTTTCAGGGTTGAAACACCATTCTTGCAGCCAATGTTTATCCCTGCGTGATCTAAATTGGTTTTAATGACTGAAGTCTATGCATATCTTCGCCCCAGCAGTTGAGGTGATTTTGAACTCTGGTGTACACCCGCAGTTAGACAAGATAAACTTTTCTGTTTCGACGCCATATGACCTGCTATAGTAAATTGTGTTGGTGCCAAAGAAAACCAAACAAAACAAGCAAACATTGAAGGGCCACTATCTTCATCTACAACACAATAATTATCCTGTGACCCATTTGGTTCGAGGGGAACTAGAAAGTGATCTGGCATTTAAGATATATAAAAACAACATATATATACATGTTTTATACTTTTATCAGTATGACCTACAAAATAGAAACTCAAGTCACCTTAAAGGGATTCTCAGTCAAATTAATGACAAAAATATTAAAATGATCTAACGAACTAAAATCATCACGCTAAATGGCATTTTTAAAATCCCAGCATGAACTTCTGTGTTGAATTTTATATATTTTGAGTTTAAAGAGTATATATATTCATATTATGTTGAACGAAATTTAGATGTCTACAGAATCATCGACTAGTTTTAAAACAAGTTTTGTGACTTGAATAAACCCTGGAAGTTACAATAACAGATATTGTGGATATTGTATGATTGACACATGTTTAGGTAATTCATTTGGCATGTTCTTTAATGTTTCCAAAGTTCACTGTGGCAACTACTGTGAAATCTAACCTGACATACGTGGGTCAGGTTAGAAAACCATCATTTAATACTTTATAATGAGAAAAGATTTGTTCCCCTGGCTGCCTAGTATATTCATTTTGAGGACATTTACAGAAAAATGAATGCAAAATTCAAAACTAAGAAATGAAAGTTTTGCCTGTGTCTCCCTTTAAGTACAGAAAGTACACCTGATTTTAAAGCAGTATGGTTCATGGTAATTTTTAAAATGTATAAAATGTAAAATATTGTCTAATAAACCAAGAAAGTTATTTACACATTGTAAATGGCACGTACAATCTACGACAATTACCACCAAATAGTTAAGAATATGCAAACTAAGCCCTTACTGCGTTACTCACGCCGAAGACATATTGCTAACTAGAAAAATGCATCAGCAAAACCACCCATCTCGTAAACATGCATGGCCAAATAAACCGGAAGTAGAACACCACAAAACATCTGGGTATCATTCTTTTCAAATGACTGCTCTTGATTTTTTTA